TTTTCACCCATTATACCACTTTTAGGATATGGCAATATCCGAGTATCACCAGTCGCCTAGGAAGGTGTCAAAAACTTGATGACCAAAAGAAAAAAAAAAAGAAAAAAAGTGATGAAGTACAGGTAGTCCTTGACTTACAAAAGTTCACTTAGTGACTGTTCGAAGATACAATGGCACTGAAAAAAGTGCCCCCCCAAGCCATAGCCGAGCAAGACACCTGCCTGCCCGCCCGGCCGCGCTCTTCCTCCTGTCCGAGGTTTTCATTGTGAGCATTTTTGTTGAGGATTGGCAGCGGGGGTGGGGTGGGGGGTTGGTTTTTATTCCCCCCGTCTGCTGGGTGGTTGCAGCAGGTTTTGGTCACTTCACATGACCCTGGGACACTGTGACCGTCATAAATATGAATCAGTTGCCAAGCATCTGAATGTAAATCACAAGACCCTGGAGAGGCTGCAACATTCCAGCTGATCGGCGCTTCTTCTGGGCTCAGCAGAAGCACCAGGATCAGCACCGAGCTCCAGCTGGATCCTGGCGCTGATCCTGATGCTTCCGCTGAGCCTTGACAGTCCTGAAGAAGCGCTGATCCTGGCGCTTCCGCTGAGCCCTGACAGCCCTGCAGTTCCAGCCATCTCTTGCTCAGGCTTGTGCGGTGCTGCCACCGGTTCAGCTCATTCCCCTCCCCCACTACCACTTTTCTAGGATGGTCGGGTACCACCTGCCAGGTGCCAATGTACCACAGGTGGTACCCACAGCACGGGTTGAAAAGCCCTGGTCTAGTCCAACCCCCTACTCAAGCAGAAGACCATATACCATTCCAGACAAATGGTTGTCCAGTCTCTTCTTAAAAACCTCCAATGTTGGAGCACCCACAACTTCTGAAAGCAAGCATTTCCACTGGTTAATTGTTCTCACTTGTCAGGAAGTTTCTCCTTAGTTCCAGGTTGGTTCTCTCCTTGATTAGTTTCCATCCGTTGCTTCTTGTCCTGCCTTCAGGTGCTTTGAGGAATAGGCACCCCCCCTTTTCTTTGTGGCAGCCTTTCAATGCTACCGAATTTATTTGCTATTTTTTTCTCAGTGTAAAAGTCATTCTTTTTTAAAAACAACAACAACAAGGAAATGTTCTTTTTAATAAAACATTAGATCTAGTTCCCTCAAACTAGAACACGCCGTTTGTCTTAGGGAAAGCACGCAGCGCTGTAAACATATTTTTTCCCTGGATTATACAGTTGCGCAGATTGCTAGGTGAGCGATATATTATTTGCTAGAGCAGGGGAAACAAAGCTGCTAAATTTATTTATTTATTTATTTATTGAATTTATATACTGCCCTATCTCCCTTACGGGACTCAGGGCGGTGAACAGGCGATAATAAAAACCATGATAAATTAATAAATAAATTAAATTAATAAATAAAATGATAAATATAGGCAGTTCTAAAATCAAATTAAATAACGGGCCTGTTCTAAAAACACACCCATACAAAAAACCCCACTAAAACATAATCAAACTACGCCAGGCCGGCCACACGGAATAGATGGGCCTTTAGGGCTCGGCGAAAAATCCTTTGTGTGTTTCAAAAAAACGAAATTCAAGCACAATCCAAAAGATTTTTTTTTTAAATGAAAAAAAAAAAGGTCTCCTCTCCTCTCCTGATGAGAAAAACGCATCCTGGGATGAAAGTATTAGCCTTAACCAGCTATTTTAAGAATTGTCTTCCTGTCTCCTCTTTCTTCATGGTCCCATCAGCTATCTCTTTTGGAATGCCTTCCTTAAGTTTACTATCCCCCAGATGTATGGTGTCAAGTCCCAGAATTTTCACACTGGCTGAAAAATCATGTGAAATGAAAACTCTATATCTGGAGGATATCTAGATTGGAGAAGGTGACACTTAGAAGATTTCAAAAGCGGGGAGGGGAAATTCATGGAAAATAAAGTAGACTTCTTGTTGTTGTTAGTTGCAAAGTTGTGTCCGACCCATCGCAACCCCATGGACAACGTTCCTCCAGGCCTTCCTGTCCTCTGCCATCTTCTGGAGTCCATTGAAGCTCACGCCTACTGCTTCAGTGACTCCATCCAGCCACCTCATTCTTCTCTGTCGTCCCCTTCTTCTCTTGCCCTCCATCTACAAGCCGAAAGTAGACTAAGATATAATAAATAAATAAAATAACATCATTTTGTTTGCTTGTAGCCTCAGGTATTCTGAAATAAACTGCCCTTATATACAGGTAGTTATAATAATAATAAAGTTGGAAGGGACCTTGGAGGTCATCTAGTCCAACCCCCTGCTCGGGCAGGAAACGCTGCCTATACCGTTTCAGACAAATGGCTGTTCAGTTCTTGACTTATGACCACAACTGGGCCCAAAATTTCCATTGCTAAGCAAGGCAGTGTGTTAAAGAGTGAGTTTTGTCCCGTTTTACAACTTTTACAACCTTTTTTTGCCACAGTTGTTAAATGAATAACTGCAGTTGTTAAAGTTAGTAACAACAGCTGTTAAGTGAATCTGGCTTCCCCATGGCTTTGTTTGTCAGAAGGTTGGAAAAGGTGATCTCATGACCCTGGAGACTGCATACATCCTAAACACCATGCCATTTGCCAAGCGTCCGGTTTTTGATCACATGACCATAGGGACCGTTTGAAAAAAGGTCGCAAGTCACATTTTTCAATGCCCTCGTAACTTCAATCAGTCACTAAACAAATCATTGAGGTTACTTAATAATAATAATCATCACCATCATCATCTCGATAGGTAGACAAAAATGCCAAATCCAGTCTGAACATCTGGCTGACTGTGCGATGATTAATAATAATAATGATGATGTTGTTGTTGGAAGGGACCTTGGAGGTCATCTAGTCCAACCTGCTGGACTAGTCATCTAGTCCAACCTGCTGAGGCAGGAAACCCTATACCAGTGATGGCGAACTTTTTAGAGACCGAGTGCCCAAACTGCAACCCAAAACCCACTTATGCATCCTCAAATGCCAGGTGGGTGTGGCCCATTGGGTGGGCGTGGCTGCGGTGGTAACGGCAGACTGGGTGGGACTAAAAAGTTCAATCAATCCCAACTTTGCGAGATCTTTTTTTTTCCCGCGAGAAGTTGAAATTGACTGATTGATTGAACTTTTTTTTTTTTATTTTGCACACGGCTGTAGAAGCCTAAAGTGAAAAGGTTTTATAAAACACAACTGAAGGCCTAGGAGTGGGGTGATGGTGCGCGTGCCCACAGAGAGGGCTCTGAGTGCCGCCTCTGGCACCCGTGCCATAGGTTCGCCATCACTGCCCTATACCATTTCAGACAAATGGCTGTCCAGTCTCTTCTTAAAAACTTCCAGTGTTGGAGCATTCACCGCTTCTGGAGGCAGGTTAATAATAATAATAATAATAATAATAATAATAATAATAATAATAATAATAATAATAATAATAATAATAATAATAATAAAGTTGGAAGGGACCTTGAAGGTCATCTAGTCCAACCCCCTGCTCAGGCAGGAAACCCTATACCATTTCGGACAAATGGCTGTCCAGTCTCTTCTTAAAAACTTCCAGTGTTGGAGCATTCA